CTGGCCTCCTGCTGGGACTCTGGGGAGCACAGGGACTGGCCTCCTACTGGGACTCTGAGGAGCACAGGGACTGGCCTCCTGCTGGGACTCTGAGGAGCACAGGGACTGGCCTCCTACTGGGACTCTGAGGAGCACAGGGACTGGCCTCCTGCTGGGACTTGGTTTGGAACATAGAAAACTTGAATCTAAACCCTTGAAAACAAGTGAACGAAACTTGAGCCGCACAAACACGTTGCGTCATGTGACATCACTGAACGTTCACAGCTCGTCCCGATCCATTCCTCCTCAAATGTTTCACACTCGAAATGTTTCAAACAATCTTCCCGACGACAGCTTGTCTCCCTCTTTGTCAAAACATCTGGAGATTTAATTACTCCATTCACTGCTCCCAGGCTCCTATCGCTCTCTCTCTCTCTCTCTCTCTTTCTCTCTCTCTCTCGCTCTCTCTCTCTCTCTAGCTAGCGTAGCATTGTCGTGCTAATTGCCGGGCTCGGCGTCTGCGCACCGCGGCGGCAAATCCACTCGAGCCGTTTTGTTTCCTCTCGCTCGCCCCCATTCTTCCTCCGGAGGGCGCTGTATTGTTCCCACATCTGCTTTTCCGGTGTCAACGACTTGGCAGCCTCCACGAGCCAGCGCCGGGGGTTGGGTTCCCTGGTGGGGTTTCTTTTTTTGGAGTTGAGTGAGAGAGAAAAGGAAGTAGGAGCAGATTGTGTGGATTTGGAGACAGTGTGGACGGAAACACAACCGAGTGGAAGTTGTTGGAGAATTGTAAATAGTTTAAAGAGGTGAAAGCGACGGTGTATAGAGAGAGACTAAAGAGAGAGACTAGAAAGAGAGAGACCAGGGAGAGAGCCCAGAGAGAGAGAGACCAGAGAGAGACTAGAGAGAGACCAGAGAGAGACTAGAGAGAGACCAGAGAGAGACTAGAGAGAGACCAGAGAGAGACTAGAGAGAGACCAGAGAGAGACTAGAGAGGCTAGGGAGAGACCAGAGATGGGGTCAGAGAGAGAGGCCAGAGAAAGAGAGACCAGAAAGAGGCTGGGGAGAGACCAGATAGAGACTAGAGAGAGGTTGGAGAGAGAGACCAGAGAGAGACTAGAGAGAGGTTGGAGAGAGAGACCAGAGAAAGAGACCAGAGAGAGACGAGAGAGACCAGAGAGAGAAAAGAGAGAGACCAGAGAGAGATAGACCAGAGAGAGGCTGGGGAGAGACCAGAGAGAGACTAGAGAGAGGTTGGAGAGAGAGACCAGAGAGAGAGACGAGAGAGACCAGAGAGAGACAAGAGAGACCAGAAAGAGAGAGCAGAGAGAGCCGAAAGAACGTTCAGAGACAGAGACCAGACAGATGCTAGAAAGAGAGACCAGAGAGAGCCCAGAGAGAGAGAGAGACCATTGAGGGAACAGGGCCGGACCAGAGAAAAACTAGAAAGAGAGACCAGAGAGAGACCCGAGACCTCAGTGGTCCTTCTTTAAACCTCGTCCCAAACCAAACCCTTCTCTGTGTGACTCCCGTTCCTAAATTCAAAGCGACATTTTAAGCCGTTTCGCTGTCACTCAGAGGCGCAGATGACCAGGACACCCCCCGTCAAGGTTTTGGTACGACCCAGTGGAGCCTTGCCCGCTAATAAGGGCCCTGCCATGTCCGGAGGGGGGGGGGGGGTTTCTCTGACAGCCTGAGTGGGGGTGACACAGCTGACTAAGTCCTGCTCTGTGATGTCTAATAGGAGCTAAAACAGTGGTGAGGACTGGGACCACACTGGGCCAGATAAGTGCTAGCATAACACGCTACTTTGGACGTTTTGAGGGATTTTTTTCCCATAGAGAGACTAAAGAGAGAGAGACTAGAGAGAGAGAGACTAGAGAGAGACTAGAGAGAGAGACTAGAGCGAGAGACTTGAGAGAGAGAGACTAGAGAGAGAGACTAGAGAGAGAGAGACTAGAGAGAGACTAGAGAGAGAGAGACTAGAAAGAGAGAGACTAGAGAGAGAGACTAGAGAGAGACTAGAGAGAGACTAGAGAGAGACTAGAGAGAGAGAGACTAGAGAGAGACTAGAGAGAGAGAGACTAGAGAGAGAGAGACTAGAGAGAGACTAGAGAGAGAGAGACTAGAGAGAGAGAGACTAGAGAGGGACTAGAGAGAGAGAGACTAGAGAGGGACTAGAGAGAGAGAGACTAGAGAGAGAGAGACTAGAGAGGGACTAGAGAGAGAGAGACCAGAGAGAGAGAGACTAGAGAGGGACTAGAGAGAGAGAGACTAGAGAGGGACTAGAGAGAGAGAGACTAGAGAGAGAGAGACTAGAGAGGGACTAGAGAGAGAGAGACTAGAGAGAGACTAGAGAGAGAGAGACTAGAGAGGGACTAGAGAGAGAGAGACTAGAGAGAGACTAGAGAGAGACTAGAGAGAGAGAGACTAGAGAGAGAGAGACTAGAGAGGGACTAGAGAGAGAGAGACTAGAGAGGGACTAGAGAGAGAGAGACTAGAGAGAGAGAGACTAGAGAGG